GATCGCCCGATGCCACTAAGACACAAAGAGTGTGAGAATTTGAGAGAAAAAAATATTAATGAGAGAAAACAGTGATAGAACAGGAATTAAGAAGACAAAAGAAAACAATTGGCATTGCATTTAAATTTTTGAAGATCAAAGTAGATTGGAAAGCAAGAAGTAAGAGAAAGTCCCGAAAGCGAGAAGTAAGTATACGGCAAAATTAAGAAAACTTCTGAGGTTTATTTACAATCACATTCACGCGGTAGTACACACCCGTCATGGGCGACTATTGATTGTTGCCGGCCTTCTTTTGTCCGTCGAATGAAGGCATTTACTAATAATCCTTCTAGGGCAGTGCTACTCATAGTGTGGTACGCGTACCGGCACGCGAGCTATCGTCTACCGGTACGCGGAGAGTTTCCAGAAAACAAAGAAACAGTACCCACATTCCACGTCACCGGAGACTACTGGGATATCTGACACTTTTTTAATATTTTTATTTTAGTGTTATATTTACATTTTTCAATTACTCATGTTAAAAGTACAACGAATGGGATACAGTGAACAGCAAAACACTGAACTGAAATACTTATTACAACATCAGGGTGTGGCGTGTGACTGTGCGGGGATCACACCTAGGAATACTAAAAGACGAATTTTATAGACATCTATTTCTAATGTGGCCTTTTAAAAATGACTGTGTTTAGCCACATGGATTTGGGCCAAAATCTTTAAAATTAGCATTTTATGCCTTAGATTCATAATCTAGCAGGCTTTCTGTAACAACTCAGCTGCATGCGTGGTTAGTGTGTAAGGTCAGAAGTAACAGCGCAAATATGGTACCGGTCCCAGACATATTTGGAACACTTATCTCAATTATGACTGAACTTAGAATGAATAAGACATCATGTTTTCATGTTTAATACAGATAGTATCAAAATAATCCTGAAATAAGACATATCTTTAAAAAAAAAAAAAAAAAAAAAAACTTAAATGGTCCCCCAGAACCCAAGCTGGATTGGAAAGCTTCGCTCGCCGGCTCCTCGTACATTGAAAAGAAAAAAAAAAAAAAAAAAAAACTACCGGTACACTACATCAGATAGTTTGAAAAAGGTGATGTTTCGGTCGAGAGCAGGTAATAGAAAGAGCAAATATTTCGCATATCGCAAACTCGTCCTGTGTAACCAACACACACCCAACCCCGCCGGTCTACTCCTCGTATTAATGCATTCTGGAGATAGGCAGTGTTTTTCGTCACCACAGTATTCTTTTCAATGGTAAAACAAATTTCCCTAAATATCCACAAATTGAAAAGAATACATAAGTACCTTCGTGAAAATCGATAGCATGACAAGAACGGCCTAAAACTTGATGAAAAAATAAATGTTTTCATCTTAAATGCATATTTCATTAAGAAGAAATGCTAAAGTACTTTTTGATTTTTTGAAATTTTTTACTCATTCTTAACATGTCCGAAATTTTAGTTAAAAATCTTGTTTTTTTTTTGTTTTTGATTTTTTGTCAGCGAAATTACAAAAAAAACTCATGTCAGCCATTTTTTAAAAATTTTGTAAACTAAGTTAAATTCCTCGTTTAAAACTCGTCCAAAAATCAATTATACATTTTTCAAAATTTATTTGAAGAAAATTAAAAAATTTAAAGTTTATTTAATATATTTTGAAAGAAACTTTTACATACTTTCTTCGCAGAAAAATGTTGTTTAAAATAAAAGGGAACCGATCTTGACATCGTTGGCGATGACAAGTGCTGAATGATGACATTCATCACGTATTGACAGCTAACGTGAGATTCGAGTTATCATACGGAAGGACAGAATTTACATTTTTAAGTGAACCAGCTTGTGCAGTGCCTCATAATTATCAAAGTAAAAAAAAAAACTTTCAGCATTCCAATTTTTTTTATTTTTTTTTTTTTTAGTATGTAGCTTTCACCATAAGTTTGTTGATACTATCTGGAGAAATTATAAATACTATTAAAAAAAAATAGAATCCAAGTGCTGCACAGCTGTTTGAGGGCAACTATAGCACCCCCCTAACACACACACACTTAAATAAAGCCAGTTTAGATTTGCTATGATAAAAAATAAGCAGCGATAAGGAAAGTTAAACCAAATTGACTTTGATATATCTGGCCCAAAGACCAGCCAGCCAGCAATAGAACAACCTCTCATCAGTTTGTAAATCCCACTACTTACAAGATAAGAGCAAAGAGTGAAAAAAGGGGCAATATTTGTAATAAAGGCTTGATATGGATTATTATGTTAAACCTATGTTTGAACAATGGCTTGATGTGTTTTGTTTTTTAACACCTCGTGATCCAGGTGATGACAACAACACTTAGCAGACGACATTGTCTTAATTTTTTTTTCTTTTATTTAAAAAGGGAAAATAAAATACTCCACATGTGTTTCGCACGGACAATTTGCAAAAATAAAGCCGTAAACAGTGGAGAACAACCCTTAAATACTAGACAGAAACTCAATCCACAAAACTTTTTTTTATTGCATTCATGATACTTCTGGTCCTCCGTAGATTAAAATTACAGTCGTTCTTACGGACACAAATTATATTTTTTTCTATACTGGTGTTCGTTAGTTTGTAAGAAGCTTTAGAATTATAATATGAAATTATAGATCCACTTAATAATACCATTGACTAAATTGTACAAACTCTTCACTAATTTTAGAAGAATTAACAACATTTAATGTAAAAATAAAATATTTTAAGAAATACAAATAATTGTTTTAAAAATTCATTTTTCATCGAAAATTTTTTTTTGCCTTCAGACAATATTACCAATATTCATTAAAACAAATAAAAGCAATTATGCATTTGAAATTAAATGATATGTTTGTTTTATTGAGTTTTTTGTATGATACAATTCAGAGATGATTTTCAGGTGGAGTTGTTCAAATTAAAAAAAAAAAAAAAAAAGATTTTCCAAATTAATGTCTGTCAAACAGGAAAAGAACGCGCTGAAATTTTAAAAGTTAAGTAGTTCTGCTGACACAAAGAGAAACAAGGTTTTTTTAATAAAAAGCTAGAATGTTTTAAAAAGAAGTAAAAATTTTTTTAAATAATTAAAAAAATATTTTGTTCTTTCCTCTTAATAATAACATAAGCATTTAGACGATAAAATTTTGTTTTCGTCAAGTTTGGTGTCTTTTAGATCAAGCTCATTTTTAGCGATTTCACGGAGGTACCTACCTATCCAAAACATTTTTTTTAATTGCGTATCGCCATCCTTTATTCAGTAATAAAGTTTTCGCATCGTCACGAAAAGAACGTGGTTTGAACGCATTAAATTTTTAACGCTACGATGGAAAAACGGCTTCTAGCAAATGTAGAAAGAATCTTGCCACTTTCAAGTTTTCAGATGGAAGACTACCTCATATATTTTTACGTAGTTCCCCAGATAAATGTAAACTTAAAAAGAAAAATTATCAGCGAACGAATAGGACACTTCGATGTGGTGTATGGAAGAGTTAACACGCCTGTCTCGCTAGACTAGAGCAATAACGACTGGGTAGTGAGTTCGATTCTCACTGGGTGCTTCATACTTTCTAGCTACCTCCACTTTTTCAGCATAAATTTTCGATGCCTAAAGTTTAAAATGAATTTTTAAAAATGAAAAAGCATTCTTGAAGATTTCATTTTTTAATTGAAAGCTAAATGATTAAATTTATTATTTCCAGTAAGTAGATCTTCTGGTGTATTTCAGATAGAAATTATAATATAGATTGGAATGTGAAATAGTTGCTCGATTTCTTAAAATTTTCTTAGAAGCGGCCATTTTCTTAATTGTAAGAAATTTGTAAACAAAAAAAAATTACCGATTTTAAAATTCTTCCAAAAAATATATATATTTCTGAGACTTTATTTGAGTAAAATTAGAAAATTTAAAGTTAAATTAATCTTATTTGTAATAAATATTACTTACTTATAGCTTAAAAAATAATATACAATCATTTCTTAACGGTGGGTCCTATCTTTCTTTGATTTTTATTGACGCGTCGGTAAGATTTCGAGATGACAAGTCTTATAGATGACCAGAATTGACATAAATCTACAAAGTCTAAGCGAACGCATTTTTTTTTTTTTTTTGGTTGGAGGTAACTACCTAGTAATTTTTACAAATGAACATATTTTCTGCAATTATCTCATATTTTATTGACTTTTATTTACATTTCGAAGATGCTTTATGAAAAAATTTTAAAAAAAAATTAAAATACTATAAAATTTTCTTAAATTAAATTCTCTGTAAAGAGACAAAAAAACTCTTAGATAACTATGAGCTTTTCATAATAATATCACGTTTAGCCATCCATAGATGAAAAAAAGGGAATGAATTAAATAAAAATTTAATAAAAAAAAATATCTTAAAAATATCATAGTAAAACAGAAAAATACGTTCATTAATCTTTTCAATTCTGACTTCGTAAATTTCGTTTCTACTCAATTACTATATCACGTCGAAGAAATCCGCATTTAAGATTCATAACAAAAAACAAACTTAACAATCTACAAACAATGTTTAGTTTACAGTACAAGTACACACACTGATTAATTAAAATAAGTAAAAACATCAAACATTAGCTTAGCAAACGTTCTGAACAAAATAATTAATTTAACTCAATCTGTATATAAATGACAAAAAAAGCAGGTTATTCATTTCCATATTTCATATGCTGGCAGGCTGGATAAAATCCTATTTAATCCCAATTTTCGGCAAATTCAAATCGATAAATCAGGAAGGTGGTTAAGTAAATCACACTGCTATGTTATAATGTTAGCCCGTATTTCATTAAAAATCTTTTTTTATTATTATTACAGATTCAACGATACATCGACAGAAAACGTTAAGAAACAAAGATTTTTGACGATAATTTGTTTTTAGGTTTCGGACATTTTTGTCACATTTTTAGCGAATTTTTGGAGGTATCTAAATTGAAAATTGTAAAACGTAAAAATGGACGAGCAAAATTTAATAATACTTACGCCAAGTTCGAATAACTGGAAACCGTGCATAAAACAAAAAAAAGCCAAATAAAAAGATAACAACCTTTCTCCGTCTAACTGTAGTGTTTATAATAAACACAACTCCTGCTTCGTTTACACTTTTATCCTCTCTGTCATGCGTCGCCTCTTCGTAGTATTTATCACTTTAAATTACTAATTTTATTACATTTGTTTTATACACATATACTAACAAAGTATAAGGCTGCCTCTACCCTTTCCTGTAGTGTTAATAATGTAATTACAACCAAGTCTTCAATTGTTCAAATACTACTGCTGCCCTCTTCCCTTTTTTGCCATAATACACTGACACCTGTGTACAATAAAATGTTACTTATGAATTTATGATATATATATTAATACTAGCCATTATTGTTGCTTTCATGGTTCCAAGGGAATAACTTTTATTTTCCTTTTGTATTCTAATTTTCAGTGCACGTTTTATTATAAACTTTCGGGCAGCATTTAAGCTAGCTAATGTGGAGGACTCTTGGTTTGGCCATCATCACAATAGCTAGGGAGAATTGATGCGATAGGCATCAATAAACTATAGAAAAACTCAAAACTGATCACTGCATTTAAGTATTGAATCAATGTTTAAGCTTAACTTTTAAAAGTTCAATGATAATTCTTCTGCTGTCACTTAATTTAAAGACGATTTGATGTACATAGATCCTTATTTTTCGTACAAACAATTATTTTTATTTCATGGGTGACAGAACAGGGGACAATTTATAAGATAAAATTATATTAATTTTATCTTATAAATTTGTCCCCTGTGTAAAGATGGGAAAATAGAATTAGTTATACATTCAACACTTGAAGAGTTAGAGAAACATAATAATAGCTAATTAAGTAAAATCTATATTATGGAATCTATATGAATAAATGCGAAAGTGGGGCACAATTATCCAACGAATTCTGGGGTTAAAAAACGCACCAACTCTACTTTATAGTAATTTATATGATATGAGCTCAATATCTCTATTATATATTACATACTTCTAGGTGATAACACTCATCAGGTTTAACTAATTTGCATATTGATTTTTAAAATATTTCATTAATTAACTGTCCTTCATTAGTGTACTTTTATTCAAGAATTGTTTTGATTTTCACATCAAAAATAGTTCTGTTTAGGAATATTGTCTGAAATGATGCAGAAAAGTGTTTGAAATTTGCATTTTACTTGGCCTTCAATGAGTTGGCATCTATTTGTAAAACTTTTCTTAACTATAACAAGCCACCTTATGAATGAAATGTTCATTTAAAATTTTTGTTTCAAATATTTCAAGTAGTGAATATATCTTACTTTGCAAAGCGATAGCGAGCGGGTGAAACCTGCTAGTATTCAATAAATCTCAGGACAGAGAGTGACAAGACCTCCGTCTTCAGGCAGAGAGTGACAAGACCTCCGTCTTCAGGCAGAGAGTGACAAAACCTCCGTCTTCAGGCAGAGAGTGACAAGACCTCCGTCTTCAGGCAGAGAATGACAAGACCTCCGTCTTCAGGCAGAGAATGACAAAACCTCCGTCTTCAGGCAGAGAGTGACAAGACCTCCGTCTTCAGGCAGAGAATGACAAGACCTCCGTCTTCAGGCAGAGAGTGACAAGACCTCCGTCTTCAGGCAGAGAGTGACAAGACCTCCGTCTTCAGGCAGAGAATGACAAAACCTCCGTCTTCAGGCAGAGAGTGACAAGACGGGTAATGACTCAGTAGGGCTCTTCAAACTGAGAAAAACAGACCATTTCTGTACCCGAACCCACTTTTGCGGGGGTTAGATAAATTTTGACCTGTGTACCAGATGGAAACGCTCGGGTTCCCCACAGTAAACATGACCTTGTGTCGCATCTAGTCCGAAGTGGGGCGACCGGTAAATATTAACCAGTGACTCAGTTCATACGTGTGGCACATCCTGTAATAAAACGCCTGTTGACTATCCCCGATTTCTTGGTATAGCAGAATCGGATAGAATAAATCCTTAACGCTTTTGTTTACATTCGATTAGCATCAAAGAAAGAAAGAAAATGTACTTATTTTACGGCTTATCAACATTTTTCAGGTTATTTATAGCGAGAAAATATTTTTAGATTGTAAGAATTTTTTGAAAGTAATAATGATTTATTGATAGAAGTGCTACTAATTAATCCATAACTGGGGTGAGATAGAAGGTAGATTCATACTATCTTCAAGGATATTTGCGCGTAAATGAACATAACCGAAGCAGATGGAATTAGAACTCGACTCTCCGTGTTCCAAAATGTTATGCATTACACCATACGCACATGCAAGCTTACTTACATCAGCCGGTATTCCTAAGCGGACACTCATTTAGGTGCTGACCAAGTCTGACGCTGCTTAACTTCAATGATCGTACGAGGACGGTGTTTCAACGTGGTATGGCCGTAAGCAAGTAAAGAAAGGCAAGGTGATAACACTTTTGGGTTTACTGTTTACTCCAGTGAATTGCTACAGCAATATCAGATATGCCAGTTCAAAATTATTAGTTTCAGTTATAAAAATAAGCAAAAACAATGAAATATCCATGAAATAGATGTAATGAAAATATGCAACATGCAAAAAATTGCAACATGCTGTTATTACGATGTTTTTGTACTGTTGCTGCCAATTTTATATAGATGACCAAACAAAAAGGTCAAATATTGAAAGTTTACATAAACAGAGGAAAAAATGAACTTGCATTTTAAGTTCACTTTTGTATAAGATTTCAATGTACAATTATAAATATATTAAAAATGTTTTTTTTATGTCCATTAAAAACTATTTGAAAAGAATTTAAAATAGACCACTCCTACATACTCACGAAAAGAATATATATATACAAATATATATATTAAGAAATGGACAAGGTCCGACAATTTATTTATTAAAGACATTTTTATGTTTTAACGTTGTTGTTTATAGATACAAGTATTTAAGCAAATGCTCTGTTTATGATAAACAGTATAAATAACATTTACCGGCCTGAATGTCGAAAAATTTTCATAGAAAATATTCGTTCTTTGACAGGATTTCGAACCTGCATCCTATATACAGAACCGTCATTTACGCTGACGTGCCTTACCTCTGGGCCACAAAGAATCTTTTCGGTAGGCAAGGTCGAATTTACTGCTTATAAACTTCAAATTATAAAATTCGACCTTGTAAGGCATGTCAGCGTAAATGACGGTTCCGTATAGGATGCAGGTTCGAATCCTGTCAAAGAACGAATATTTTCTATGAAAATTTCAGACATTCAGGCCGGTAAATGTTATTTAATACTGTTTATCATAAACAGAGCATTTGCTTAAATACTTGTATCTATAAATAAATAACGTTAAACATAAAAAATGTCTTTAATACAAATATATATATATACAATATATATATATATATACAAATATATATATATATATTTATATATATAATTGTGTATTTAGGCATCAATCCTTCCATTATACAAGTTTCATTCATATAAAAACGATTGACAAGGTACCAAGATTAATTTTTTGTTGGCATCTAAGTCATGTAATTTTATAATTGAGCATCCAGAAAGCAATCCCCAAATACACAGTTATTAAATTATATGACCCGGCAGCCAACAAGGATAGTAATCATAGTACTTTGTCAGTCGCCTTATAGATGAACAAAATATATATATATATATATATATATATATATATATATATATATATATATATGGCTTTACGCACTCCACTATTTTGGAGCTGCTCCTCCTGCTTCCATACCCAAAATTGAGCTGGCTCCCCTCACGCTCCCCGTTTTCAAAAAGGAGCCGCTCCAGCTCAATTTCATTAAAAAAAAAAAAACGGCTTTTTTGCCGGAACTTCATAGTTAAATTGTACCTTCTTTCATAAACTTTGGACATCTATAGGTTTTAAAAATCTTCCAAAAATTATTTTGTGATACGTTTATTTGAGTAAAATTAGCAAATTTAAAGTTAAATTAATCTGATTTGAAATCAACATTCATAAAAAAAAAAGTAATATACAATCATTTCAACTGAAAAATGCGCGAAAAATCTAATGCTAAATATTACGTTACCGCTGACCTAAAAAAAAAAAAAAAAAAAAAGAAAGAAAAAAGATTTTTAACCAAAATTTCGAACGTGCTAGACAGGATTAAAAAAATTTTAAACATAATTAAAAATATTTTGGTATTTCCTTTAAATAAAAACATAAACATTTTTGCAATAAAACTTTGTTTTTAAGTTTCGGACCTTTTTCAATTTCATCATGCTATGAATTTTGGCTAATTCGTGAACATGCCTACAGTTTTATAATAAACTAGCAGCATGACCCGGCGCTGCCCGTGCTTGATTCAAAAATCGTACGACTCATACAGCAATCGCTATCACTTGACTTAAAAGATTTTTGCCCTTCCTTGCCTTTAAAGGAGTGCCCTTTGCCGTGCTGATGTTGCTACATGCCTTACTTCTTGCCTATCTAACACTTTTTTCTAAGCTCTATACTAAACATTAAATCTGTTACGAAAAAAGAACTAAACAAAATGAACACAAAACGATCAGCTTTAAAAAAAGACTCGTAACTGGAAAAACCGAATGAAAAAAGAATACTAACAACAAATACTTTTTCACACCTAACCCAGTTCTGCGGAATCAGAAACAACGTTGAGTTTAAGCAAGCGAATGAGCCAACTGGAGTAAAGTGCCATGCAGATTTAAATTTTTCCCACTTGTGACGAATGCAGGTATCGATTTTTTTGCATGCTGGCATGCTAGTTAACATTCGTGTCAGTCAGCTATTGGCTCTCACGCTGGCCAATAGAATCTTCCTGCCTATTCGTGGCAGCCAGATATAGGGTCTCACTCTGGCCAGTAGAAAATGGCCGCAACCTACATGAAAACTGCCGTAGAAGCATGAAAAAATCAATTATTTCCACTATCGATGGGAGTTGGGAAATGTAAAGTCAGTCTTGGCCTTCCCGCTAACTTGGAGCATGTGCATGTAAATTTTGGTGCAAATCCGTCTAAAATTGCGGCCGTGCATTCGTTACACACACACACACATACACACACACACACATCCTGCCTTTATATATATATATATATATATATATATGTGTGTGTGTGTGTGTGTGTGTGTGTGTGTGTGTGTGTGTGTATTTGAATAACGTAAATGGTAAATGTGATGCGATAAATATAATGAACAAAAGTTCAAATAACGTATGGTATTTTTAAAATTTCAAATGTCAGCGTTTCTCGTAGATTGTGACAAGAATGAAGACAAATTCAACATATAAAAAGACGTTGAGTCTTCTATGAGCCGTGTCCCTTAAGGACGTGTACATTAATGGCGGCCCGCAAGTACCTATGTTTTGTAGCTCTTTGTTAGTTTTGCCATTTTGAAAACTCTACTGAACCCTCTACTGTCAACTATTGACGCAAACTCGATCCGTAGGCTTACCTCTACCCCCCTTGCCTTCAATATGCCCTGTGAGTGTCAATGTTTCCAAACCCTCTTTCCTAATTATATTCCCTAGAAATTTCAACTGTCTCTTTTATTCCGTATTAGCAGTAGAGCCCGGCATTGCCTTGGGATGTAACAGTAAGAGATAGATCAAGTATCGACCATCATAAAGACTGAAAAATAAAATTGTCAAAGATTATTGTTTAAGGTTGACGGACACACATGTCTTAATTAGTTTTTTTTTTTTTTTTTTTCGAATTGGTCAAACCCAAACTCAAACAAAAACATCGTTATGAGTCTACCGATTGAATAGAATTTTATTATCAACAATTGTCTTGTAAATGGAATTTCTAAAGCATTCTGAATGTAAAAATAAAGAAAAAAGTGTGCAAGACAATAAGAAACACTACCTGCCCAAAAAAGTGAAGTTTTGTTGAAATTGGTTGAAAAATGTAGGAAATCCGATCCCATATAAACGAACACACACACACAAACAACCTGGGTTTTATAATAAGTATAACTCGATATGAGTTGTCCCCCTTTCATTAATGCCTCTTAATTGTGTTTTCAAATTGATTTCGTGCAAAAACAATTGTTTTTTTTTTCCAATTTTTGGCGCTGTCAGAACCACCGCAAGGTAATTTTATGTAGTCCTGTGAAGTTTTGCTGAAATCGGTTGAAAAATGTAGGAAATCCAATCCAATATATAAACGAACAGACACACACACACACACACACACACACAACCTGGGTTTTATAATCAGTATGATGTAACTAAAATGAAGTATTAAATTATGGTTATTAAATTTTCTTATTAAAATTAATGCTGAGAACAAATAAAACAGATACTTTTTTAGAATGTCTTGGTTTTATTATTACACATCATAAATATCAGTTAATTCCCAACTTAATTCATTTTCTTGAAAATATTTTACGGCATCAAAAGTAACCTTTACCGTAGTTTGTTATACAAATAGGCATTTAAAAGATTTTGATAGATGAAATGTAAGACTTTAGTTAACTTACAGTTTTGGGGTGAAAAGTTATTCTCGTCTGTGTTCCATTTGATACTACACTTTGAACGACAGAGAAACACAAATCTTCTGTTGTCAAGAGTTGTGACAACATGTCTTATTCTGGGGCGTGGAACAGTAAATGGGTAGGAAATTTTGGTAACTATGAAATAAAAATCGATTAAAAATTGATTTTAGGGCAGTTCTGGCGTGGGGATTTGTGGGATAATCCCTCGCCTATATTTTTAAATAACTGAAAATCGTGGGGTCCAGAAAAAACCCTCCAGGAATAACAGAGCCGTACTTTCAAAACGGAGGTTTAGGGTCTAGACTCTATACGTTAAAAAAAAATTAAAATTTTATTTCAGGATAAAAAGTATCATTTCAGACCAAGAATTAAAGTTATTCAACATTTGGACAAATATCGAGAGAAATAGGCGAGAAAATCCAACGGAAGTTATTACCCGTAAAGATTGTCGGAGTTAACTCCTCCCTTCAGTCCGTTAACCCTTTCACCAGGGGTCTCTCTTCCCTGGCTATAAATAGCCGCTAACTCTTTGCCTCTATCTCTCTTTTTTTTTCCAGGCCTGTGCACTGACACCTTGAGGTAAACGCTCTTATTCCTAGAGGATTTTCAGCTATCAACCTCGAAATGTAGTCGCTAACAAGGGATAGCGTGGAAACACGCTAAGCATAATACACACACACGCACGCACATACAGAATATTCACACACGCACGCACATACAGAATATTCACACACACTTCGTCCTTTGTACTGTTTCCATGTATTTTAACTTGTTATTAATATATATTTGTATATACATATATTATCGGTCTTGTTTTGTTTGCTTTCTTTACCTTCTACTTGATTATTTCTCTTGTTGTTGTCTTTGTTACATTTGATATTGTAAAAAAATGTAGAGGGTCAGTTTTTATTTCTATTTATAACCAATACAAATTGGCTGACCCACTATAAGATTTCATTTATTTTTATATAACTTTCTTTAAATAATAATAATGATGATGATGATGATGATGATGATGATGATAAAATAATAATAATAATAATAATAATGGCAAAATCGTGTACAAATGTAAATTGTCAGTAAATTAAAAAGAAAACATAGGTTTATTTATTCATTCAGCAATGAAAATTTGTCATAACATCCAAAAAAGTTCAAACCTTTCTTCCCCCCACACCAATATTTAAAGACAGCTTTTATACTCTCTCTCTCTCTCTCTCTCTCTCTCTCTCTCTCTCTCTCTCTTTCTGTCACCGACACTACATATCTAATCACTCATATATACATACATATCTAACCTTTCTTCACCGATACATACATATCTAATAAAAATTGAAATTTCTACGGAGAAATAATAATAATAATAATAATAATAATAATAATAATAAATGACTTTCTACGGAGTGACTGACTCTTTTGAAGACATTTTTTCAGACTGTCTCCTGTAATATCCCGGGCATCAAAGTCACTAGCCTCTTTACCAAAACCCGGGTAGATGTTGAAATAGCTTCTATTTTCATGTGTAACACACACATACACACACACACACGCGCGCGCGCGCACACATTCTCTCTCTCTCTCTCACACACAAACACACACACATTTATCACAAATATAATAATAAAAAATAACTCAGTTTAGCTCAGATTTCCTTTCTTTCCTTATTTATTGTTGAATAAACTAATGTTTAAAAAATATTCAAATAATTTTGGAGCGAGGAGCGCATTAGCACCCCCACCCCGATCTTTAGACCCAGATAGAGCTGCTCAAGCTTCACTCCGGTTAAATATATAAAATGAGCCCTCTTCTTTGCTCCAGTAAAAAGGAGCGGGCTCCTTTTTGGATGACTCCGTAAAGCGCTATATATATATATATAGTGTAACCCGGATATAAGACCCGGATATAAGAGAAACCCGGATATAAGAGAGATTTTCTCTGGTCCCAAATTAGAGCCTGTGTTAATGTAAACAAAATAGACCAAACCCGGATATAAGAGACTTCTCCGGTCCCGACAACTCTCTTATATCCGGGTTACACGATAGATAGATAGATAGATAGATAGATAGATAGATAGATAGATAGATAGATATAACAAAGATTGTTTCGCCAAGAAACAGAAAAACTATCAACCAAGGTAATTCCGGAAGATAATGCTTTTAAAGGTGAGCAGTGCGGGAAAATCTGCCTGGTCAATCATGACTCAAAAAAGAGATATGATCACGTATGCTACTTAACTGACTGAATCTTGTCAATTATCTTATTCATTAACAAGAGAGATAGCATTAATAGTAACAAATAATATTAAATCTTCACTTATCTTATTTCTACTCGGAGTTTCTCGGAGATTACATACACTCGTTAAGGGACTTGATTGTAAAATTTAATTTTAAATTGAATTTTATAATCTAGTACCACGAAACTCAGAGTAGATAGTAGTATAAGTAAACATTTAATTTTATTTATTATATATTTTCCCCCTTTTTTTTCCCTATTTTAATAATAGATTGTATTTTAGTCGTGGTTCCTCGGCTGTTTGTCAATTTAGTATATTTAGGCTGCCAATGATTCTTCTGAAAAGGTTTTGGCCAAAAAGGTTACCTTAAAGAAAAAAATGCGATTTTGTTTGTCCAATAAAATTTACAAGTTCTATGGTATCAAAATATTCTCTCTCTCTCTCTCTCTCTCTCTCTATATATATATATATATATATATATATATATATATATATATATATATATATAACAAAAAAGACCAAAATTACCTCAACATAGAGATAGTCTATTTCAAGCTGTTCTGTGCGGCTATCATCAGTCTCTAAGTGTCTGTCTCGGAGCATTGTTTTAAATTTACTTTCAATGTCAGTCCTCCTCTGGTAAACGTCTTGTTAATGAGAATGTGTTTGTGTTAGCGATTGGTGAGGGAGTAAATTATCTTATCCCGGTTGAAGCAGTCTGGGGTTGAAGTTTATTTATGATGAGAACCTTTGTTGTTTGTAGCTTAATATCAATTCCTACTATGGGGCGTTTCTTATACAGACCACGAATGTGTTTTTCTGGGATTCACTTTAGCGTTGGTATTGGTGGTAATGTTTAGTTTATGGTCCTTAAAGAATTTGATTAGCTCCTTTCACATTCGGTCTACTTGCCTTGGTCTCAGTTTACGAAGGAGAATTATCTCATCGTCATTGTATATACCATTGTTTTTAGTATCATAGATAATTCTGAGTCTTCATAGTAACAGTATCCCAACAAGTCCACATACTTCCGCAGGATAATTTTCACATGGAAACGCAAAAGTCTTTGTTATCTTTCTTAGTCCATAGAGTTTCGTTGTGGTATCAAATCGGTTTCTGTGCTTTTCTTATAATATTTACTTCTTGGTCGGAGATATGACAGTAGTTCTTTGCTAAATTAATAGCGGTCATCAGTAGATCTTCCTTGATGGATGGGTAGAAGTCACAGATATCGAACTGTAAAACTGTACATTCTTCTTTCTTATGTATATTACTGAACCATTCAATATTTTCGGCTGTATTCCGCCACTAGTTGATACCTGAAGCCTTTTAGTATACTTACACATTCTTTCCATAATGGTTTTGCTGATAATACCGATGTTGTTTTTGGATGGGTTGAGCAGTCGGTATTGAGTGTCATTTAGGAAATTCTCTTTGTGGTCTTTAATCGAAACGAAAGCCTGTTGTCTGTAAAGTTTAGAGATTCTATCGTCTTTTTTAGTTTAGTCGATAGAGCTTTGGCATCATGGTTAATTTCTTTTCCCAGTTGTGATCCGCTTTTTATAGAATTTACATACTTGTGTAGTGTTGGCTTTGTGGTATAATTCAAAGACGTGTCTGCAATGTAATCGGTCTTGACCTGGCGTCTCTACTTTAGTCACTTTCAAACCGCCTTGATGTCGTGGTTTCACTGTCTTTTCCATAAATATTTTCATGGAAATTGTTCTGATGAGCTCTCTTTTGATGGTACTGCATTAATTTAAGCGTACTACTAGATTGGCAATTTGGTCTCACCGTTTTACTGTTTAACTGGTTAGACGTACCTATAAGTTCTCTTCTAATAATTTCTTTACATAAAATTCTTCTCCGTAGAATTGTTTTCCGGTTTCTTGTTGCACTGTCACCTACAATTTTTAGCATTTAAATGCAGCGCTAATCACCATCTTCTGTATTCTTGAATCCTGTTCTTTTATTGTCCTTTCTCAGCAAGGTCTTCTCGTTCTCTTTCACGCCCAGTAACCAGTTGCGTCTGAGAGGCTTTATTGCCTTGCTTAGAATGAAATGACTAAAAGAAATGGTACTGAATAGATTTGGTCCTGATCTACTTCCCAATGATCAAAAATCACACTGAAAGGGTCTTCTTGGTCAAGCAACAACATTTTCGACAAAATTTTACAACTCCATTTTTTTTAAACCACAAAATAAGATTAGATTTGGTAGATGAGAGGAATTACGTATCCATTGAGGGCATTGGTACATATATTTTATATTCATGACAGCCACGCTTCGTATTCACAAGATTTATCACGTTTCATTCTTGCAAATATGAACTCTAATCGAGATATTTTTAAACGTGATTAGTCGCTTTTTCTCCTGTAAAAAGAGAATACCTATTTTTTTTAAATTACTAGATTAATCTCGGGTTATCACCATCACATGTAAACAGGATTATAAAGAATTATAAATATTATTATCATAATTTGATTAACTTTTGTCTAAAAACAAAGAAATTAACCTTTATTTCAATATCATTTTAGAAAGTGTCATCCCTAAATCAAAAAAAAAAATACATCTATTTCTGCAAATGTAACTCTATATTTCATATCCATATTTCATGATACAGACAACTTATAACCCACAAATATTATAATAGTTGAATATCACTGCTTATTGCTGAGAACATGGAGCATATTGTGGGCAATAGAGATAGCGGAAGACAGTGAACCCCTTACCTTACGAGCGAACAGATGGCGGAACGAGGTACTGGGGCCTTGGCAAAGGGATAAAAAGCCACACGAGATAGGCGATTACGTCTCTCTACATTTCTCTATCCCCCGAGGAGACGCAGCACATAGAAGTAGAAATGCCAGGAATTTTCTCGTTGGTCTTAGCTTCTGTGCTTGCAGCTGATGTTGGCTTAAGCCTGTTGATGGCAACTGCGTCATTTTTGACATTTTTCTGCGCAGTAAAATGTTTGCTGGTCTTCTTTACTACTTTGTATGGGACCCTGGTAGGTAGGATGCACTGATTTCATGACAGTCATTGCGTACAAATACATATTCACTGTTATATTCACTGTCAAAGAGATTTTGGGGTATGTATCGTTGTTTGTAAGACGTGTTGATGTAAATTGTATTCTTGACATCCTATGTTTTACGTCTTGTACAAAGGTTGATGTAGAATTCATAGCTTTTTTCCGCTAAATATTGCCCAGGAAAGGTTAGCGTTGTACCAAAGACTAATATAATTGGTGTACTACCAAATTCTTGTTTAATTATCTTCCCAGTAGACAACAGTACTAGAGACAAATTATCAACCCAATTTGCTTTCGGTCACATTATTAGAATTGCTTTATGTTTTTTGTAGAACCTTTCCACTAAGCTATTGGTACTTAGTAGAAAGTTGAATTCTAAAAAAAGGGGTTGACTGTAATTTTGTGCCTCTGCCAGTTGTGATGACAGTATGTACACCGCATATGGTGATCCAGTACAGAGGAACTTTTTTGCGCTGGTGTCAGTTAAAAAAATCTACTGGAATTGCTGACAGCCAACGAGAAAATCGTCCGATAATTGTTAGTATATATGTGAAGTTTTGACAGGTTGATAAAGATTCCACGATGTCGTTATATAAGTGCATAACTAGCGCATAAGTGTTACTAAATGTCTCTACGGTTGATTTGGTGTGTCTATAGACTTTACAACGTTGACAATTTGTACAGTTACCAGTTCAAGGTTTGATATCCATGTTCATCGGAGGCCAAACAAATCCTTCACTCATGAGCTCCAATGTTGCTCTGTTACTGGAATGGGATAGTGTGTGGAAATAGTCGAATATGCGTTGTCACAGTGACAATGGCACGTGAGGCTTAGGGGCAACCGTTCGTAGTGTCGCAGTAAATAGACTTTTCACTGTAGTAATTTTCCAAGCGTAGCTTAGATGTGGCACAAGGCCGAAAGTATAGGGCGCCCAGTGAGGATCGAACTCACTACTCAGTTGTAATTGTTCTAGCAAGACAAGCTTTCTAACCATTACACCACCTCGAGGTGCCCACAGACTTTTCACTGTATAGCGCTGGTACTTTTGTTAGTGTTAAAGATGTCTGCTTTACTACTTCTTTTACCAATTCTTGTAAGGTAGAACTTATTCTTGCTCGTAGGTAATTAGGTTTTATTGATTATATCTTGGATGTGTACCTGTTCGAGAGAGTGGGCCTGCAACAATGTTTTTTATCACCTTTGACACACCTGATATCGCCTGAGAACTGTGATATGTAGTCCGGGTAACAAGTCTCTCGAGGTGTGTACTTGACAGATTGTCAAGACAAGGCACGGTTTAAAGGTTTCTGGTCGATATACATTGTAAATGGTCGGCCTTCGAGAATGTGCTTGAAGTGTTTAATTGCAAGATGGAGTGCTAAGAGTTTTCTGGAAAAGGTTCTGTGTTTTGATAGTATGGAGTTATGTTTTGCTGAGAAGAATGATATAGGTATGTTGTGTGTATGACTGCACTCACATCTGATCTGTTTTCATCAGTGGCTTGATTGATTGAATTGTTTGTTTAACGGCATATCAACTCCTTGTGGATCATTTAATGATGAAATTTAATTTTCTTGGGAGCTTTGAAGTGATAAAATATGATATGCTATTCTGCTTTCACAATTGAATACATGGTAGATGATGCTCAGCTTTTGTGCATATACATGTTTGTGTGGACGAAATTACTAGAGGCGGTGATGTGTGTCTTTTATGTTGTAGTTTTGTTGAAGTTATATTTTGGAATAGATTTTGATTTCTTTAAGAAATTGTAGGATATTATATGGATTAATGTCATGAAAGAGTTCTTTCATTTTGGTTAATTGGTTGATTTTGCTTAGCGGCATATCAACACCT